GAAAAAATGGGGACATTAATGGATGGAAAATTGGAGAAAGAAATTTATGGCATGGGGATACCACTTTTTTTTGTTTTTTTTTGCTAAAAACATGGCCATGGGGATACCACTTACTAGTGTTGTTTGATACGAAACGGAAGTAACGCGTCTGCTTAATGGTTATGACTTTTGATTGATATTTATGTCACATGGACCAATTTGTTGTTCAATATAGTCAAGAGTCAAGCCAACTCAGTGTGTTTTTTTTTCCGAATAATTAAACTGAATTTCATATGTTGAAACGATGTTTTTTTTGTGAAAACTAATTGAGTAAAGAACGGTTGTCAAACAAGTTCTGTTTTTGACTAATGCATCCGATTGATTTCTCTTGTTTTTAATTAATGTTACTTTGTTTTGTATGTTGTAACTAGGCTAAGTCATTAGAACATATAATCCACCGGTAATGAGTTTTAGCAGGAATTTTTTCATATCACATTCTCAAGTTCGTAAACGAAATGTGAACAAATGTTAGGCTCATAAATGTGAACAAGTTCACGAGTTTTATCGAATTGTATGTATGGTATTTTCGTTCAATTTCTTTCGGATTTCAATTAATTTGCTAGTAACTTTCTTCTAATGTAGTCATAAACTTTAATCATTGATTTCAATATCAACATTAGGTGATGTACTTTTGTTCGTAAAACATTTTTTTTTTTTTGGCTTAGGATTGCAATTTTTAAAAATCACCCACAATAAAACATGAACAATATAATAGGCTGAAAACAAAAATTAGTAACCTCACTTAAAATTTTTAACTGTAAATTATTAAGGAGTACAAGAATCTTATAAAACCAAATTAAAGAAAGACACATGGGATGTCTCGGACGGCTTTCTGCTAAATATCTTATCAAAAACCTAACAAATATTAACTGTCGTAGAATCTGTTCCCTTAACTTAAAGACTTTTATAAACAAGGACCCAAATTTTGTCTCTCATGTGACGAACACCAGATCCTCTCTTTGGTCTAATCTTGTCTTCCTCCACAAAAGCTTATAGAAAATTTTTTGAAACGATCATTAGCAATAAGAGAAGTATCAAAATAACATTTAAAAGCACAAAGGCATTAACATAATGAACCATCATCGCAACAAGAGAAGTATCAAAATTTCATATAATTAGAGCCAAACAAAATAAAAGAAGAAGAAATAAGTGGCAAAGGAAGGTTTAGGAATTGAAATCACAGAGCTAAGATTGGGACTTCCGGGAGATAATAACGGCGAAAAATTAGTTTGCGGATTGAAGAAGAAGAGGGTGTTCTCGGAGACAATCTCATCATCTTCTTTAACAAAAAAAAAAGACAATGTCATCATCTTCGTTAGCTACCGAGGATGAAAACAGCGTCGTTTCATCAGCCAACATCCTCGCGTATAAGGTTGAGGCTGATTCTTCGCCAGTGGTGAAGAATCAGGTGGTAGGGTGGCCTCCGGTGTGTTCTTATAGGAGAAAGAAGAAGAATGAGGAATGTTCTGGAATATTCTGTAGGATTGTACGTATAAAATGTGTAGGATTGGTGTTGAAGAACGGCGAGAAGTGCGAGTACGCTATTATATACGAGGACAAGGATGGAGATTGGATGCTCGTTGGAGATGTACCTTGGCAGTAAGTTTATAATACCTTAAATTTTGATCATATATTGCTTACATTATTATATCAACCGATTATCAACTTTATCGAAATGAATATATATACCCTCTTAAAATTCAAGATTTGTGTGTTTCTAAAAGTTGTGAGTTTTCTTTGTTGTTGGCAGGATGTTCAAAGACTCATGCAAGAGACTGAGGATTGTGAAGAGATCATATGCAGCCGGTTTTGGTCTACAGTGAGATTAATCATTCGAGTGGTAATGGTCTATGGTTAACCATTCAAAACTTGACTAAACTCTTCCATTATAGTGAAATTTTAATGATCATAGTGGATTATATACATGTTTTCTTCAGAATATAAGAAGTTTATCATAAGCTACTGATTCCTTTCCTTATTGGTCATATTGTTATGTTTTCTTATATTTTTACCTTTAAAGGTTTTTTTAGTCTTACATACTTCTTTAATAGATTAAGACGATGTAAGTTTATTGATTTTTTTGGTATTTTCTTGTAGTGTTATCGCCAATTCAAACAGTTAAGAATTTTGTTTACTGTTAACCGGGGAAATTCCATGTCGAAACTCAAACTAATCCCCCGAGGTCCATAGAAATTTGGATTTTCTTGCCACTAAAGACATCTACGAGTGGCCATAATGATTGAAAATGAAAGACTCGAACTATACAAAATAAAAAAATCGTAATGAATCTTTCAAGCACTAAAACACCACCACAGGTTAAAATAAGACTTTTTTTTTAGATAAATGGAGATAAAAAGAGTGAATAGCAATGAATCTTCCCAACTAATTTAAGAAAATAAACCAAATTAAAGCCATGGTCTATTCCTGATGATAATGTAGTTTTGGGTGAAGATTCTAACTACTTTGTCGGTCCAAATAAATGATATCCATATCTTCCATATTAAATGATCATATCAATTGCAGGTAACAGATTTGAAGTTCATGTGTATATATATACTACATAGAATTAATCCAACCCTTCTAAACTTATTACCAAGACACAAAAAATAAAACTAAAGAAAATGAAGGCACCTTCACAACAAGACATGACTTACCACGATCAAGTCAAGAAACGGCAAGAGGAAAAAGGCTGTTTATACGCAACGTACGTACCAAATATAATCTCTTCTCTTTTTGTGTATTTTTACTTATGATTTATGCACTTCTCTTGATGAGTTCTTTTAATTCGTTTGTTTCAGACTTTTCGCGTTGTTCTGTTGTTGTTGCTGCGACGAGAATTGCAAGTGCTGTTGTTGTTGCGTCTGATTTTAATATATCATCTCAAAATATTATCTTTATGAGTTTTC